GACTTGCTGGGTCGATCCCTCACTTGATCGACAAGCTGGGTTGATCTCCTACTTGATCGACTTGCTAAGTAGAACCCCAACTTCATCGACTTGCTAGGTAGAACACCACTTGATCGACTTGCTGGGTCGATCACCCACTTGATCGACTTGCTGTGTCGATTTTCCACTTGATCGACCCGCTGGGTCGATCCCCCACTTGATCGACTTGTTGGTTTCGATCCCCCATTTGATCGACTTGCTAGGTAGATTCCCCCTTCATTGACTTGCTAGGTCGATACCCCACTTGATCGACTTGCTGGATCGATCCCCTACTTGATAGACTTGCTGGGTCGATCCTTAACTTGATCTACTTGCTGGATCGATCCCGCACTTCATCGACTTGCTGGGTTGATCCCCCTTCCTCGACTTGCTGGGTCGATCCCCCACTTGATCGACTTGCTGGGTCGATCCCCCACTTGATCGACTTGCTGGGTCGATCCCCCACTTGATCAACTTGCTGGGTCGATCCCAAACTTCATCGACTTGCTGGGTCGATCACCCACTTAATCGACTTGCTGGGTCGATCACCCACTTAATCGACTCGCTGGGTCGATCACCCACTTAATCGACTTGCTGAGTCAATCACTCACTTGATCGACTTTCTGGGTCGATCCACCACTTGATCGACTGGCTGGGTCGATCCCTCACTTGATCGATTGCTGGGTTGATCACCCACTTAATCGACTTGCTGGGTCGATCACCCACTTCATCGATTTGCTGGGTCTTATGGATTATTGTTGGCTTAACAAGTATCAGTTTGCTTACTAGGATCACGGTAGGCTTAAGCGTCATTGTTGGTTCAAGGATATTGATTGGCTCAACAAGGATAATTGGCTTAACATGGATCATATTTGGCTCAACTAGTCATAGTTAGCTTAACAAGGATCATGGTTGGCTTAACAAGGATATTGTTTGGCTCAAAAAGGATATTTATTGGCTTAACAAGGATATTGGTTGGCTCAACAAGAGTTTAGGTTGGCTCAACAAGGATATTGGTTGGCTCAACAAGGAAATTGGTTGGCTCAACAAGGATATTAGTTGGCTCAACAAGGATATTAGTTGGCTCAACAAGGATATTAGTTTGCTCAACAAGGATTTTGGTTGGCTCAACAAGAATTTTGGTTGTCTCAACAAGGAAATTGGTTGGCTCGACAAGGATATTAGTTGGCTCAACAAGGATATTGGTTGGCTAAACACGTATCACGGTTGGCCGACAAGGGTATTGGTTGGCTTAACAATAATTAATTGGTTGTCTCAATGAGGCTCATTGTTGGCTCAACAAGGATCATGGTTAGCTCGAAAACGATTATAGGTGGCTCAACAAGGATCATGCTTGGCTCAAAATGGTTATTGGTTGGCTCAACAAGGATATTTATTGGCTCAAGAAGGATCGTGGTTGGCTTAACAAGAATCCTAGTTGGCAAGAAGACTCCCATTCATGCAATCTAACATGCACTGCATTCACGAGACTAATCACCATACATCAAAGCTCTCTAATAAATAAACCTTTGTATTAGTGTGAGTGGAAATGCCTTTAAGAAACATTATTCGATTTTAAATCGTAACTCTAAAGACAAATAGATGTT